CAATTAAATTTTAGGGGTTGTACCTACCTATTGTGCTGTCAGATGGAAAGATTAGAGAGTGAGCTTTACAGAAAGGAAATAGGATACGGACACACAAAAAAGAAAAAAATTTACGTGGTACACCACTGGCTTAATCGAAAATATATTAAAACATGCAAGTTCAAAACAGCAAACAAATCACTATGATTATCCTGAATTTTTTTAATCTTAGTCATAAAGTTAAATTTCCACATTTATTTACGGTCCTTACTTGACGAGCATTTTCTTACTCAACGGAAAATTTCATTTTACGACAGAGTTGAATCGAACCAAATTTGAACAGCGCACCGCATAGGATTTGCTGCCCTTTCAAAAATTGAAATAGATACATTAAATTCGATTGAAATCTTAGTTAGGCATTAAATCATCGGCAGCGAAAATAGGAACTTTTCCCTTTTGTAGGAGAAACCTGTTATGTTCCGTTGTAGGTAGTAATAGTAAATCGAAAACAGTTGTTCTTAAAAATTTGATAAAATCAAGTTGTAGAAAATAACAATTTGCTTGTAAAGGGTCCATTGTAAATAAAATAATTACAAAAAAATAAAAAATAAAATAGTTTTATATTTCATGGTGTAATTTAACTAATTTCATGGTGTAAGGAAAGGAACTGTTTTCTACCAACTACTGCCTTTCTTTCTGTCCGCCTTATCATAAGAGGGGGGTTGAGGGACGGGGAGGAGTGGAACTGATAATACCCTTCATGGTACTCTAAGGCAGTGTTTTTCAACGGGGGCCAGGACGTATTTCTGGGGGCCACAAAGGAAGACAGAATATTGGTAGGCCACGGAAACTTTTCAGTGGGCCACGAAAATTCATCTATCTTACTGAAATATTTAAATGAAATAAATTTACCAAAAATGGTCAGTACAGTATGAAAGAACAGGGTCTCTCGGCACTGAATGCATTCCCTTTCCCTGTTTTTATTCCATTATTTGTATAGAGTTTTTATTTTGTTTTATGGGTAATAAATTATATATTATTACAAAAATTATACCACAATAACCCATTATACTTGTTTGTGATATCACAGCTTGTACCTTTCCTAGAAAGCAATAAATCCTAATCACAACTTTAATTGTTTATAAATGGCAAACGCACAATGCAATTGATAGAAACGATACCGGAAAATGTTTGTTATTTTTTTCTAACACGACTACACGAACTTATAAATTTATAAGTTCGTGCAAGACTACCACCCCTTTACTGCCTACTAGGATTCTTTTTCTGTAGAGATTACTTTTTCTACAACTTTCAAAGACGCATTTTTTTTTAAATCAGCGTCAAAACTAAATGAGCTTGAAAATGGTTTCTTGATAACTAAAAAATAACAAATTAATTTTAATCTAATCTAAAATGTTACAATATTGAAATGCCACATTTAATGACCTATATTCTGTACATTTTTGTGCGGTCTGGGAAAGACATAAATGAGTTTTAAAACATGTATAAAGCTACTAAAACTTCAAAAATTTCTCGGGGTATGACCCCCCTCTCCAGGGGGGGATTCCATACCCCCGGGTCTAACGCGGAGGGAGGCCACAGAGATAAACATCATTCACAAGTAGGCCACCAGTAAAAACAGGTTGAGAAATACTGCTCTAAAGAAAGCTCTCAACGAAGGGAATTATTTTTTACGGACCAGAGTCCTCTTCCTCGGCCTCTTATCGTGATCGGATATTTTCCCTTTTATCTCCAGAACGGATTGTAGAACGAGGGTAGGTCGTAGGTACTACTCACAAAGGGCGAATGGGACGTTTAGAAGAAATATATCCATTGGTGATATCAAACCTTTAAGAGCGAATATCTAGAAAGCGGTTTGTCGGAGGAAAGTACTCACAAAGGCAAAATGAATCGAGCGGACGAGACATATCTATTGGCGATGTCGAAGCTTTCAGTGCAAATATCTGCAGAATGGAGTGTCGGAGGATTTTGAATGCATGCCAGGCGGTCTTTAAATGTTTATGTGTAGAGAGCCTCCTCCCCTTATAACCCAACCATTTACTAAGCTATATATGTTAAACAAAAATGTGTTTTATCTGCAGAAGGGTTGTGCACAATTTATACTTGTTTATTTATTATTTTTATAATATCCCATTTATGGCTGTCATTTTTCAATTTAAGTGTCTTATAAAAATCTGCTTTAATCCTCAAAAAATGTATACTTGTTTCTTATCGTTTATGGAGGACATTTTCTACAAAATGATGACCATTTCTTTCTTACAACAACGAAGAAGATGAATAGTTGAACAGTATTGATATATTTTTTAATTTCAATAAAATTATTGTATTATAATGTTGTTTATAAAAAAAATAGATATTTTTCTAATCTGAGTTGTGATTTCATACAGGAAAAAAACGCCCTGTACATATGATGAAACATGCTTGCTTCCCCTTTTCGAGCGAAAATGTATTAAAATTGGTTTACACATGACAATAATAAGTCCATCATTCGAAACACTTCATTAGAGGTAAACAGTACTAAGTCCGTAAAACAAAAATTTTTGATAAAATTTCAAAATTCGATCGTACATATGTAAACTTACTAGTTATAAGTAACATGGTTCTTCATGATGAAAGTAATCAAATGTATAGATTATTCCTTTGTGCTTCTTATAATGTGGTTTTCTGTAAACTTTTGAATTTGTGACTTAGTAGACTTTACCTCTGAGGTACAGACATGCATTTTGCCTAAAAATTTGCCGTGATATCGCCAGTATGTATGTATCAAAATTTATTACCAAAAATATCTATTACTTTTTTCCTTTGAATGATTTTCAAACGAATATCGACATACATTATATTTAAATGTTGAATTTTTATGGAGAAATAAACAAACGTTGATAACTCTATCCGAAAGCGTCACAAAAAGTCCGTATACGCTTAAAGTAATCTGTGTATTGACCTCTACAAAAGTTTATGAAAATCTATAAAACAAAATAAAAGTTGGAGCATCCAAATTTCCGGATTTTCCGTTTAAAATTTCAGATAAAATCATGTTATTCTGTTCCTGCTTGTTTCTTACCATAGTGGTGGTGGTAAGAAACTAAAAGCGTGAGCGTGAGTTTATTTTACTTAATGAAAATCGATATTATACTCTTACATTATTATTACATAAGTGTGAATATGTACCTACCTACAATTTGCCAATCTGATATTATTGATTGTATATTTTTGTTATTATCATCCAAAAACAAAAGTCGCTTTCATTAGAGTAATCTTCACCTAAATCAATAATTATGTCATTTACGCAAATATCAAGAACATCCTCCTGATTCCATAAACTAGGATTTCACCCTTTTGAAATGTTCGCATGCACTTGTTTACAACGCTTGCTTATCTACAAACTTGGCCCGTGTGCCATTGCTTACCAGAATCACTTTATTGAATAATTCTCGTATAGATGCAATATATCCTTTACCTCCTCCTTTACCCATATGTTGCTTAACTTCCACGTCTTAAACTACAAAAAAAAACAATTTAAACTTACTAAGTCTTGCACAATTTTTACAGCAAAGTACAGCTATAACTAGAATTAAATAAAAGTCATCAATTATGTGCCTATTTGTCACAAAATTGAACCAGATTTATTGATCATATTGATGATTTAAAAGGTCACTTTACAGAAATGAAACTTTTAACACTCCCTACCTTCTTTATACATCTACAAATGAAAAACTGAAAAACCTCCCAACCCCATTTTCCATGGTTTCCTTCGATGTTAAAAATTTATTTCCCAGCGTCCCTACCACTGAGAGTGTCAATCTTGGCTCCAATTTGCTTAACCGTGTCACATTTAACTGACGACCAGGTGGTTTGTATAAAGTCCGTCCAACAAAAATTTTTAAAATTCAATAACCTCTTCTATTCCCAAACAGATGGTTTGGCTATGGGTTTCCAATTTTTCTCCTTTCCCCGCCAAAATGTTTATGAATAACGTAGAAAATGAAGTTATCAGCAAATCTACTTTTTTTTAAACCACATTTTATTCTGGGATCGTTATGCGGATGACATCCTTTGCTTCCAGGCAGCTAACCAAGAACTTGTCAATATCTTTTTACAGGGGCTCAATAATATCCACCCGAATATTTCCTTTATCATGGAATCTGAAATAAAAAACTTTCAAAAATGCGCTAAAAAACTGAAACAAAAACACCCAGAAACCACAATAAAAAGATGTAAGCCTTTTCTAGAGCAAGTAGGTAGTTGTTCGCCGATGGTGACAATTTTGCTGGTTCAAAGTTTCAAATACATACATCTATAACCCCCTATTGCTGCTAGTTGTAGGTACTTTCACATTATTTTGCAAATCTACGTTCCTTTCGTTTCAAAGCTCCGGAAATAAGCAGCACACTGGAAGGAAATGTGAATGAGTTGCAAACGGAAAACGTAAAGGATTTGGGAAATGAAGAGGCGGGACTAATTAGCAAAAAAAATTGGGAACAAAAAAGAAGCGATTTCTAAGAAAAAAAATTAATTAGAAATAAATGACATCGTGCAGAGTACATGTAGCGAAACTCGTCTTTAGTGAGCTTTAATTCCATCAGGAATGCAAAATATCAAAGTGGCAAAATTCGTAATGGAAATGTAGACGATTGTGATAATTTAAATAACAAATTACCTAATTCTTATGTAACGAAAATTAATTAATTCTCAAGTATAAATCACACTTAATTCATTTTATAACTACATAAAGGAGAAGTATTCTACCACCTTAATTTGAAGGAAAAACAGAACAAATAAATGTTAGCCTTTAGGATTAAAGTAGCCTGAAAGGGAATTTCCTGGTTGCATGGCAACCCCTTTTAATTTCAGGGTAGAAGGCGTGGTTTATAAGTTTCAATCCAATGAAAGACTTGAATTTACGCGCAGATCTGGTGTATGTGTAATGTATACGTCTAATGTTCCTGTAATGCTTGATATTATGAGGATAATACATTTCAAATCGTTTAGTCTATCAACAGCTTTGTTACCGGTTAGTTCCGAATGACAGGTATCAAATAAAGTGGTTTTAAGTTGCGCTATGTTTACATACCTGTCAATTTGTTTACATTCAATTAAAATTTTTTCATTGAACTTTTCGAATAAGCTTTTACCAGAACTCGCTTTATTTGTGAAGGTGTAGATTTTGTCAGCAATCATTTGAAGTAAGGAGAAAATGTCGCACTACATAAATGAAGCGGCTCACATACTGCACGCGCACCCCGATAGTTCCTATCATCAATCGAAACCCTTAAATATGGATACGAAATTACAAGAAAGTAAGGGATCTTTTTGCATAGACGCTCTATTATCGCGTAATGATGATCGTCCGAATACCCCCGATACATCTCGAAGTATATCACCATCATCCACAAGAAGTAGAAGTCCACCAATTTCGCCGGGAAGCGAAGAAATTCCCCCCACCTCGTTTGTACCAAGGCCGGGACTTTTAAATCACATTTATCCAAATGGTGGACTGTACGGTTACCAAAGTCAGCATCATGTGCAAAGTTCAGCCTTTCACACTTTGGACGGTTCGATGGTTCAAAAGCTTCAAATTCCCATCAATCACCATAGTCCCAGTCAATTGCAGCAAATGCAGTTGGAGTGGCTCGCGCGGACGGGGATGTTTTATCAAAGACTCCCGGACCTAACTGGTAAGTTGATTTACGCATTTTAAGCTTATGTTGGTTGTTAGACGAATATCCTTCTTTCTGAGTAATCCTTTTATTTCCGACAAACGCTAAAAGCTTCACAGTGTTTACCACCTTCCCCTTGGAATCTAGAGTCGGTTCTTGTGAAAACCCTCTCAACTAGAACGTATTTAAAGCTATTGTGAATAAAACTTGAAAAGAAAACTGTTGCGATCGGGGGTCTGTAGTACCGTGGAAATCTATAACGCATGAAATTTTCTACAGTTCTGAAGTTAATATGACACAAATTTGCAAATTTTAAAGAGGAAAGGGGCTATTCAGTTTTTTCGCCCTGTTTGAAAATATAAACCCTATATTTAGGAGAATTTTTTCGAAAACAAAAAACTACCCTTATATGTGATGGTTTTTTTCTGCCCGTCCGTATGTTCCTCAAGTACGAAAAGTGACAGCGATGTCAAATCTTCACCAATCGCTTCCTACCAGTTCTAAATTAAGATTGTATTTTCCATAAGATACCAAAATCATAACTAAATTAACAGTTCTTTCTGCGCTACTGATCTCTATATAAAAACGAGTAAATAGTTTTTTAGAAGCCAATATCTGCATTTTGTCACCTGATTGGGTAGGTCGAAACTCCTCTCTAGACACTTTTTTGGCAATTGACAGGGTGAAAGTCGAAAATATTTGAGGTTTAATTTGGTTTAAACAGGTTGGAAATTGGCATATATCGAAGATTCGATAAAACAGTACCAAATACCTAATTTTACCCAAAATGGTCATGAAACCTTCATTTTCATGCCTACGTATGACGTTTTATGACGGAGGCTGACCAGTCTACTTTTCCTGCCACCTGTCACTTTACCGGTCGCACTTGTCACTTTTCCTGCCGCACCTGTCACATTGCTAAATGTCTATAATGACTCCTGTCATCATTGATAGATTGGCATTAATCAAAAGTTCTATATGAAAATTGAATTGAAATTTAATACAAAACTCGTCAGTAAAATGACGTTACTTGACTCGGATATTAAAGTACTCGGCTGGGGCCTCGCACTTCAATATTCCCTCACCAGTAATGTGTCATTTTCTTGACTTTTATATAAATAACTATCGACCCGGGTCAATTGACGAAAAGATACCCACGATTCATGATTTTTTTCTATGATTTACACGTTTACCACCCTCGTACGTCCCAATATTTACTTTTACCCAAAATCGTCATTCAACGGTCATGTTCATGCCTACTTTATGCCAGCAAATTTTAGTTTTCATGAGAGAGGCAGACCACACTACTTTTCCTGCTGCATGTCACTTTACCGGCCGCACCTTGTCACTTTACTAACCGCTGCTAAATGTCTGTAATGACACCTGTCACAAGTGACAGATTGACATTAATCCGAAAACTGAAATTTTATTTTAAAATACGGTATCGAATAAAGTTTAATACAAAACGCGTCAGTAAAACTACATTACTGGACTCGGACATTATAATACTCGGCCCCATGGAGCCTCGTACTATAAGATTTCCTCGTCAGTAGTTTTCACCCCCAACTTTGACGTAAATACCTATTGTTTTTTATGACAGGTAATAGTACTGTAATAGTTGTTACTTGGTTATAGGATAAATATATTAGTTTCTGCTTCTTCTCATACAGTGTTTTGTGCACTTATTAACTATTAGAGTGCGGCTAGCTGTCAGAAAAACATTAAAAAAAAACGAAACACTGGACCACCATTACCCTTATGTGAAACAGGTGCCCTGAACTGAATTGTAGACGGAAGTAACCTTTAGACATCAAAGCAATAGAGGCGAATACGTCTTATGAGCCTCTTTCTTAGGACCCTGCGGTCCCACTCGAGAGGAAAGTTAAAAAAGCTTTAATTTGATATTTTTTGGTTTCGAATCGTTTACTATTTTATTGTAAATTTAATTACGTCGTCTATTTATTTACAATTATTTAACAATTAATTGACACAGTAATTACGTTCCCGTTTAGAGAAGACTTTACTGAAATATCCGATGACTTTCTCATATGCCCCTCCTGCATTTCTTTGCTTATCAAAATTCTTCGACCCATGGTATAATTGGGTCACTCACAAGCGGTTTCCCGGAGTCTTCCATCCATGCATCCATCACATCTTTCTGACAACACTGCGGCAGGGTGACATCATCCATACGAGTAACACGTAGCAGACCGTCTTCTTTCTCTGAGAATAGGAACTACTTCGTTCGTTAACATAAATAATTATAATTTTTCTAGGGCACGTCCAGCCTCCACCACAACGAAAATCTCGATATTGAAATTTAATTAGAATTTAGAAATTCAGCAGCCGTAACCGCCTCCAAACTCCAATGAATTATTAACAAATTGTCAATTAACACTTCATGTAATTTCGGGTACAAGATAAAAACATTTAAACATGAAAACTCATATTTAGGTCGTAATTTGAGCTCGATGAAACACAAAACTGACCATTTATAGATCAAACAAGTTTATCTGAAATCAATCAATGAAGTGAGCTGAAAGAAAAATAGGCGCTCAGGGTCATAAAAACAAAGACCACGCAGCACCAACAAGCGGTCGATGAACAAATTAATTAAACGAAGTTTTAATTACATTAATGTGTTAATAATCCAAAATCTCCGATCGTATCTGCGATTTTCAAACAGAGTATGATTGAATCTTGTGTCGAATCTCCAATTAAAACATTTTAACGTTAAAAATAATTGAAATGCACATACAGTTTGGATCGTTACCTTCTTCGGTATTATTTCAGCCTAAATAACGGGTACCTGATGTTGTTTACACAGCAATATTTTACACGCCATTTACGGCTGTATAAAAATGGAATCTATTCCAAAAGAAAGCATTGCTAAAATGAAAATCAAATTCCCAATAAGGACAAAATACCCACAGTTCCTTGGTATGGATTCAGTTGTCAATAAATGCAATTCATGTCCCCTGCTAGATTCTTTTAAGTATCTTGTGATTAAGTTAATTCAAATTTCAATGCAAATCCTTAAGGATAACCCACCAATATTTTAAACAATTCAAAAAAATATTTAAAATAACCGGATGGAACTGATGTTTCACTAAGCTTCTATAAAATGCAGTTCTACCTCGAAAAGGTTTTTCAAGAAAATGCGAAAACTGGATCGCTGTCAGGGCGAGACCGTTTCATTGTGCTCGCCCTCGTACAATTAATTATCTCTCGTTGTTTTGAAATTTCCGGATGGTGAATTTTATCTCGACCACAATCTCAAAAATGTACTCGAGTTTTTAATGTTCATGAACAGAAACAAGAAGCCAAATTCCAATGCACAAACTAATTTTTCCATTGTTATTAAACTTTGAACGGACATCAAAATGTCCCTTTAAACGTTATCTATTCGTCTAAAAAAATGCCGGCGGTTTATTTAATTCAATTTAATTTACTTTGTGTGCACTTACTAGGTAATTAACGTGTATATGTCCTGTAATTGGAATGTAATTTCTGTACGAGGTTAAATTATAAAAAGTATTACTTTATTAACTCTTTAGAATATAATATACTACCTACCTATTCTCTTCAAACGTCAAAATATTATAATGGCCTGAGTAGTAGGCGCCAAAGTTTGAAATGATCGCTAGGGCAGATTTAACTTTTCCTTTTCTTGTTTTCGGACAACAATTTAATTTTATAATAATAATAATAATAACTGATTGGCTAGTTACCGGAGCAATTTATTTTTTTTATATTCCCTGTTTGCAATTTCAATTTTTAATTAAAACAAAGGAAATTGTCAATCAATAAATAGTAGCCTAGTTACATTATAATGCACTGCTGATTAGAATTTCACTTACGCGAAAACGAAAGATGAAGCAGCGACGGACCTATGGGGGGGCAAGGGGGGGGGGGCAGGCTGCCCCTCCAATACTTAACTAGTTGGCAATTTTGACAAGAGTTGGTAATTTTCATTACTAGTTGGCGAATGCCGCGAAAGTAGGTAAATCGTAAATGTGATAAGTCGACTATTGAAGGAATGAGAAATTGCGGCAAAATCTATAAAAAAGGACTCTTTAATAGGAAAGTCGCTTCCTTCTTCTTCAACACAAGGTTGGTATTTTGGTAATGCTTTTAATTAGTATTAGAGACCGTATACTGATATCTTACATTTTCTACATGATTTATTAGACTTGGAAATACCACTTAATACTTAATAGATACTACCCGTTTGAGTTGGAAATTTTTACAGTTGAGTTGGCAAAATGTCATGTCTGCCCCCCCGATTTTTTTGTCTAGGCCCGTCTCTGAGATGAAGTGCAGTTTTTGTCAATCGACTAGCAAACACGTGCCACTCATTTAAAGGCACCTTGGCACCTGACTCAGGACCTACAGCACTCCTTCTGAGCCAGATGCCTTTTTTTCTTTTTGTCACTTCTTTCCTTCCTTTTGAAGTAAAGATTTCCTTATATTCAGTAGCCTGACCTGCAAAAGAAGGAGTTCTTTGTACTCCTCATCTGAACGCTTGTCCGCTGGGTCCAGTATGTTTTGTACTGTCGCCAGGAAAGATTGCCGGTCACAGCACCCCTTCAGTCGATCTTCAATCTATCATCAATCATCGAGAACAAACTTGAGCTTTATTATTGATAAATAATAAATCTTGGCAAGTACCTACTCGTATTTTGTAGAAATAAACAATTATCGCAGTCTTATATTTTGTAGGGTATGTTGAAATACAAACTAATTATGTGCATGTGTTCATTCCACCTTAACGAATTAAACTAAAAAAACGAAAGGCGTTTGGATAAAAACTTAGATTGATTTCCTAAACGTCTTCCGAAAATACTATTTTGGTGCTGAAAACATGATCCATTTCAAGGAATTCGCGTGTAGCTGTTTACGCGTCGGGAGCATATCTATGGGAATATTGACATTTGCCAATATTTCTTTGCTGGGAAGTTTCACTTTTTGTATAAGATTTACGAGGTTCTCTTGTTCGGAAAACGTTTTAATTTAAT